AAACTCCTTTTCCCACTATAATACCGAAAAACCGAATGTCCCTTATACCGTCGATCTACCCGAAGTAATAAAAGTAACAAATGTAATAAAAGTAATAAAAGTAAGAAAAGTAAGATAAATCTTACTTTTCATGTGACCAATTACTCGGGTAGGCGTCGGGACCTAAATTCGACGATCAATCACGTGCCACGTATGACTGTGATAACGGTGGTACCGATTTCGGGGCTCACAATAGTTAGGTTTAGGGTGAGTGTTAATATCGTCCTTTTTCATAGTAGGCTATAGGTAAAGTCTCAAAGAATTTTTTTTACGAACTATACATACTATCTTATACATGCTTTATTAATTTGCACTTTCACACAATATACGCGAAAAAAATTCGGGTATCATATAAATGGCAAATTAAAACATTAAAACATTTGCTATCCCTAAATACAATATTATGCAGAACACTTGACTTTAGTTTTAGTTTATTGCTTCACAAAATAATAATTCATATTATGCTTATCATCTTAGTTTAAAGATATTCAAAGTTTATATTGAATAGATAAAGTTTGGAAAATAGCTAATTTATATTTAGCTACTCTTAAAAACTTAGAAAATAAAATCGCAGAACTTAAAGATAACAATTTATTATTTTTTTTTTATATACTATGAGACATAAATGGCATTAGAGATATCTATTAGTTGCTCCTCAAACTTTCCAACGACAAGTCTAGAGCCAACTTACTTCATGTAATTTAATTAGCTTAATTCGTTGTTTGCCTGTAGTATGCTGGTTAAAGTGTTAAGAATTAAACTTATATCTGGTCGTCTTGTAGGTTCGTCGTCCCAGCATTGTTTGTAGAGCTGAACATATTGTGATGGCTCTCCATCTATAGGTGTTTCCCTTTTTCTCTTATGAATGTGTTTGAAAATTGAAACAGATCCCCTCAGCTTAGGAGAACAAGGAGGTCTGCCGCTGGAGATTTCCCAAAAAATAATGCCTAAACTATAAATGTCTGATCTCTTGTCACGTTTATACGAAAGATCCCTAAGATATTGAGGTTCGATATATGCTTGCACTTTCTGAGAGATTAAGCGTGAACCTAAATTCCCTTGATCAAATAAATCAAAGTCCGCAATTACCATTTTCCTTCGCACGCGAAGATGTTGCCGTAATGCTATATAATAAAATAAGTAAGTTATTTGGTTGTAAATGTATAAATTCCTATGCGTTTTACCCATTCATTAATATAACTTTTAGAGATTCTTACAAGGCTGCAATGAGCTATATCATTCTTATGCAAAAATTCGATTCCTTCTGCTATTTCTTGAGCCATATTTAATTTTTCATGCCATGAAAGCTTTGAATAATTATGATTTAAGTGGTCACGTAAATTTGTATTACCAACAAATTGTAAAACTATGTTATAATAACCATTTGGATCTATTCATTAAAGATTCAACATTAATATATATAATGGGTTTCATTTATTATTTAAAAGTAATGAAAAAATACCTCTGGTTATTCCATAAAATTTCATAACATTTGAGTGAAAAGCAATTTTTTGTAAAATTTCTAACTTTGAATATAGTTCAATAAACTTCTCTTTTAAACTTTTATCATTAACCTTAAAGCATTTAAGAGTAACCATTATTCCATAATTTTTCCATGATGCCTTGTATACTCCTTTAGCAACTTTATTAACATCACTAAACTCGAAAGAATCAAAATAAGCAATTTTTTGTTCCAACATAGCTTTTTCAAGTAACCTGTTTAAGGGCTTTTTGGTGGCTTCAGAGTTTGTTGAGTTAGTATGATTTAAGGATTTGAGGCTTTTAAGAACAGTCATCATTTCTGGTCGCTTCATAGGATCGTTGTCCCAACATTGCTGATAGAGTTTGACGTAGTTAGGAGGTGTGTGTATTATAGGTTCTTCTCTTCCCCCTTGGAAAATGTGCATAGTAATTGCTTCTTTAGAAAAAAATGAATAAAACGGCTTTCGACCACTTGAAATTTCCCAAAGTATAACTCCAAAGCTATAGATGTTAGATTGTTGATTACGTTTATATGTACGATCTTTGAAGAATTGGGGATCAATGTATTCTATCATTCCGTCAGTTATTGGATCGGAATCTGAGGTTTCGATAGCAATTTGTTTTATTAAACCTGCGATCATTGCATTACCATTGTGAATCAAAATGTTTTTATAATTCTATAGAGTAGTTGTAATCAAGATGAATAAAATGTGGTGTAAAGAAAATCTTAGATTACAAAATACAGTATACTCACGAGATCCTGATGAATAACATTCAAATTATGTAAGAATGCAAGACCATTTGCTATCCCCATTGCAATACGAAATTTATCCGTCCACATTAATTTTGAATAATAATGTCTAAAATATTCTCTAAGATTCCCACTATTAGCGAACTGCGACACTAACATATAGTATCCACCTAAATAATATATATATGAATAGTATAATATTAGCTTTGACTATAAATCATTAGGTTCATTTAATAACTTATAGAACATTAACATAATAAATTATTTTTTGTGTGTAAATAGTTATATTGGAAAGTTTTGGAAATTAAATAGATCTGTAAGTTGGTGTGGCCTAATATTGAAATGCATACCTTCTTCATTCTTGGCTAAATCATATAAATGAATTATATTCGAATGAAAACTTGCTCTTTGTAAAAATTTAAACTTCGCATATCATGTAAATAAAACAGAATACCAATCAATTTATAATTTCTTAATATGTTTGAGTGTAAACAATTAATTAGTACCTTTCTATATAATTCATCAGAATTTGCATTAACTTTCAAACTTTTAAAAGCAACGGTTGTCCCATAGCCTCCCAACTTGGCTTTAAGCATCGTCATTCCAAACTCTCCATAAATTATCTTTACGTTAGTCAATTCTTTAAGATCATAAAATCTTTCATTCGCTTTTTTTTCACTACCGAATTTCTCAAATTGCTTCCGTAATCCTACTTTTGAAGGATTCTTGTATTTTAGAATTCTTTTAAAACTCTCCCTTAATCCTCCTTTAGAAAGATTCATGTATTTTTCATTACAATCAGGTATCTCTTCTTCTTTACAATCAGGTATCTCTTCTTTACAATCAGGTATCTCTTCTTAAAATCATATATGATGTTTCTAGACATCGAAAAATAGAATTTAGAACGTGCCTACTAACGTATATTACAGATCAAAAAAGAGAAACCCTTGTTCACATACATAATAGTTTAGAAGGTTAGCGTTAGGGTTAAATTTATAAGTAGAAACGGAATTTAAGTGGATTCGGAATTTTTATATGAAATCAGCACTTTGTGTTGATTTTATAATATAAAATACCCTAGCCCTAATTTAACAAGGAAATTCCAAACCCATATAAATTCCATTCCCACTTACAACATATATATTAGACGTAAAATTATTTTAGGAATGCTGATTAAGGCATCCATTTTCATTAGCGCCTAACATTATGTCTTACCGCCAATATAAAATGGTTCCTCTTGTAATATCTCAAGCTGATCACAGATTTCTTGCATCGTCGGTCGACACTCTGAATCATCTTTCCAGCATTTCCGATATAAATCGGCATATGATACTGGAGTGCCAATAACGGGTTTTTCGCGAACACTCTTAAAGATAATTTGGTAAACTAAAGAACTATAGGTAATATCTTCAAATGGATGCTTCCCACTTGATAGTGACCACATTATAACCCCAATGCGTAAACGTCAGATTTCGATTTAAATTTCAGATATGGATTTTTAATAACTTCTTGATCTATAAATGCTACATTATTCCTGTATATTGTTATGCCATCTATTTGTTCTTCCATAGAAGAAAGGCTAATAGCAGCACTTAATTCCAAAAATATTGGATGTTTTATTTTAGCCTTTTGCTTATCAATAATAATTGTTTGTAGTGCTAATGTGAAATAAACAATTGACTTTGTTAAATGTATCAGAAAAAAAAAAATGCAGTAAGGGCAAAAAATTTACCAAGTTTCGATGAATTATCCCTATGTTATGGATATATCTCAAACCATGAGCTATATCTTTCAATATTTTTATTTTTCTATCCCAACTTAATGTTTTATTTTCAGAAATATAATCATGCAAAGTACCGTTATATTCCATTATTATCAAACAGCTATTGATTTCAGGATCTTTGTGAAAAATATAATAACAAAATATTAGTTATATTAAAAATGAAGCCATAATGTTAATTGTCCAAAAATTCCATCTAATGTGAACCGTTTACAAAAATTGATTGATATTTGGTTTAATATATCCACGAAATACGTTGTTGAGATAAATTTCTGACATTGATAAGATTTTGATTTCCAAAACTACTGATATTCTTTTTTTCTAGCAATGATTCCGATTAATAAAAGTCAAACTTTCTTCTCCAATTGTTAGCATAATCCCGACTAAGAACAGAAATAAATTTCGATGGGAACATTTAATGAAAATGCATAGTTACCTTTACTGACCCCAAGGAATTGCTGTATATTCGGGTGCATTATTTTGGTCAACTTATGTAACTGTTGAACGTAATATAATTCATTTATATTAGTACAAAGTATGCTTCGCATTGGGTTAATAATAGACTATTTTCATTACTACAATCATTTCTTCAAGGATCTGAATATTTTTGACAGCAATGAAAATATTTTTGAAAATCAAAGATTACATGATGGTAAAAGGCGGAACATCTGCATCTAATTTTAGTTATAAATTGCCCTTTTGTACAACTTCTTTCCATCATATTATCACTTGTGCTAGGTGCTGAGAAAAGGGACCAAATTACAATTTTTTTCAAAAATCATTTTTTGCGCTTAACTAACCCAAAATTAACCCAGAAGCATTTCTTTACTTAAGGAGTAAATGTATTAATAAAATTTACAATCAGTCAGACCTCACTCTTAATATAGTCACGACCTTGTTATAGTCTTACCATATTTCTTTTCAAGTTATTATAAAACATATAAATTTTGACCTTCATATAGTCACAAATTTTTATAATCAAATTTTATTTCTTGACCTGGTGATTATATCAAGGTCTGACTGAATTTTAAAATTTGAGTTTTCTTATGTTCTAATAAAGATTTTATAATAGAAAAAAAACCGATTTTTCCGCGAAATCTAATTTTGACAATTTAGTCCTTTTTCTCAGCACCTAGCCCATTTATTCCCATAAAGCAATGCCTTCATAATTAAGACCCGGTTGTTATTCACCACCTCTACCCGAAGTATTGAATAATATCTGGGATATAAATAATCTTATTTACTTGTTCCTCGAACTTTTCTTTATATTCTATATGGTCTTTAGGAATATACTTCATCACTATCGGTTGTAGATAACCTTTCTTAACAATTCCACAAACTGAATCCTTAATTAGGGTTGTGTTTTCAATTAATTCATGATCGATTACATTAATAATATTTTTCTGCCAGAATCTCTTGTTCCAATTGGAAGTTTTAAGTGCATTATTGATGTCATCATTAGTGGTGCTAGCGCATTTCAAAAATTACAACCCAGAATACCTCACGGCATGTAATACTACCTGCCGTATTATTGCTGCAAATGTGATGTAATGCCGTAGGTCGTATTATGCGCCGTATGTAGTATTATGTACCGTATGTTGTATTATTATTGCTCGGTCAGATGACCTTATTTAAACAAAATAAATGACTTTATTTAACAAAGTTGAAAAGCATATGGGATAAGGGCTCGCTACCCTCAGCGGCTCTAATATACATAATCAATACCCCAAATTCAGAGACATCAATTATTAGACAGTAGGTGAAATAGACATCAATACTATTTGCATAGCCCACGAAACAATGAAATACCCTAACAATTCATAGATTAAATGCCTTCTATGTAGAGAGAAAATGTTAATCATTTAATAGTATAAAGAGAATCGGTATATATATATACTTATGTCAAAATAAGTAAGTGATCATCTTTAATATGGTCCTTGCACTGCCATTTGCAGCCGTGGAGCCAAAAATGATATAGGTCCTTGCACTGATATTGCAGTCGTGGAGCCACACAACAGGTCCTTGCACTGCTAGTGCAGCCGTGGAGCCTGACACAAACATCATTTGATTGAGTTTGGGTGGGTAAGGGAGGGCAATAGAGCCAGCCTTTACAAGGCGAGCAATAGCGAAAAGAAAGATAATTCTCTTCACCAAGAGAATCGTCCTTAAATACCCCTTTTCACATTCCTCTGCATTACTGATTCATTCCTGGTTATAGCCATTGTCCCTTACCTATGCCACTGATCTAATCATTACTCATAACAACGTGAATTTCAAATAATCATATGTTAATTCCAAAATTACCTGTTAACAACAACAATCAAAGAACTACCATAAAGGATACACAACAAGCTTGAAATGCAATTGGCCATAAAGTCATCTGATCTCGCAATAATGATCACCCTGTCACTTCGTTGACAGGCTTTACATTTTGTGCTGTATGTAGTATTATGCGCCATATGTAGTAATATGGCAATATATAAAATATACCGAAATATATATTATACAAATTTTTTTAAAAAAAAACGACAAATTATTGTAAATACTGTACTAATTTATTTAGCTTTTTATTACATGTAATAAATTGTTTATGCAATATTTAATTAAAAATAATTTAAATAATTTTCAACCAAAACCGATTCTTTAGCTAAAAATTCATCCACCAATTGCTCAGGTGAATATTCCATATTTCCAGCATCATATCCGGTGCTAATTATTTCATTTTCAATGTCATATTGAGACAAATTAACAATCTCGTCAATAAGTAATGAATCTTGCATATTTTCAATGTTTTCAGAGACTTCTTCCAGATTAGACAAATCTTCTTCCAAAGTTATTACCTCAGCAACTGCTGAGATGGTAATAGCTTCTCATAATTCGGCCTCGATAAGTTCTTTTCCATAGTCATCTAATTTAGATTTAATGTTTGTCATATAATATGATCTAATTTTTGTCATACTTTCTAAATTATCGACACTTAAACTTATTCTTTTGTCACCAATCATCCATTTTAGAATAGAAAAATTTCTTTCACAGCTTGTTTGTAATGGAGAAATAGAAAAAAGTCAGCATGCCAATTCAACTAGGTGCTGGGGTTGGGTTTTTATTGATCCCCACTATAAAATTGGTGTATCTATCCCAGATGTATAAGGTAAGTCATACAGAGATAACCTTGCATCATAATGTCGAAGTTGTGTAACTAATTCTCACTTTCTTGCTCAGTATGGTTAAGACTCTGCCAAAGCGAGGTAGCAGTAAGAGCTGCTTCTCTAAAGCCTCTGTTTTTAAGCCCAAATCCTGAAATTTGAATTTTTTTTAAATTGTTATTTATGTATATTCGATATCTAAATGATCTCAATAAAATAATACTTACCACAATACTCAGGATGAATAAAATATGATAATATATAAATAGAATGATAAAACTCTTTAAACCATTTATTAAAAATCTTGATTGTAATTTGCAAATATTTGTAAATAATAAAGAACATCTTATAGCGTCTCGTGTGTTAAAAAAAAAAAATCTTGATCACGTATTGTTTAAATAGATTTATTGAAGAAATTCGGTAGATTGCAAACACAAGTTTAATTAGATAATTAAAAAAATTGACTAAATTTGCTGAATTACTTTCCAATATATCTATAACCTCCTTAATCGGTGTCCAAAGAGCTTTAGTTTACCAGCAATTTGTAAAAAACTCTTCGTCAGTCAATAATATAAGAACTTCAGCATTAGTAATGACATTCCGATACTCTATTAATATCTATATTATAAGAAAAATTATATGTATTACAGTTATGCAAACAAAATAATAAAATTTATTTTATTTTATTTACCCAATTAAATACAGGTCTAGCACGTAATATAGAATCAGTAATAAAATATAAGGAAGCCCAACAAGTTTGACACCATATATGAAGCCCTTCAAGTCGAATTTTCATCTTGCTTAAACCTTTTCGTAAATATGAATTAGCCTAATGTAATTCTTTAAAAAACTTTACAACCTTATTATATTTATTAATTAAATCTTTAATGCTATTTTCTTTAACAATATCAGATGCAATTAGGTTAATCGCATGTGTCGCACAATGTATATCCCAAATATGGGAATATGTTTCTTGAATTTTTTTTCTTGCATAATGACAATTAGATGCTGTATTCATAACTACTGCAACAAATTTCTTACTTCCAATATCCTCGATTAAATTAGATATTTCTGATGCTAAGAATTCTCCTGAAAGTATTTTTAATGAATACTTTTTTAATTTTAGGAGATATTCTTTTTGATCGGTCGTAGATACAATATAATTATAAAGAGAATCTACACATGGGGACGTCCAACCATCTAACACTAAAATTAATTATTAGTTAATAAATTAAATATTGTATTTAAATTATTATATTTTAGTATATGTATATATATATATACGTCAGAAGCTTGGATAGATGACATAAAAGGCTGGCAAAGAATTTTAAAAGACAAAAGAAAAGAAGAGTGGGAACAAGCTCAAAGAAAACAAATAGAAGAAAATATAAATAGAAGATGTGAAATGATAAAAACCGATCAAGGACGAATGATTGCCAGCCTTCTGAACAAACCATACAAAAAGATAGTCTTGGACAGATTTATAATACAAAGCACAGAGAAAACCAGTCTAGTGACAGAACCTAAAGCTGTTTTAGATGGCCTAGGAAAGCATTTTGAAAACCAATTTAGAAAGCGAAGAACCAAACTAGAAGAGATGCCTAAAGAATGGATAGAAGTATATAACCCAAAAGAGTGGATTAAGGAGTCCTGGTATGAGAAGCTAGAGGAAAAAATAGAAGAAGAGGAATGGGAAAACACGTTGAGAGAACTCAAAGCCAACACAGCCCCAGGAATCTCAGGCATAAGCTACACTTTAATAAAACGGGCAGGAAAGAAATCACAAAAGATTTTCAGAGCCTTCGCAAATCTGGTTTTAGAAATAGGTGAAATGCCTAAAAAGTGGAAAATAGCACAAGTTTATCCAATTCCAAAAGATGTAGACTGGGAATACAATCTAAACAATATTAGACCAATAGCACTAATTGAAACCTTTAGAAAGCTAGTCACAAAAGTGGTAACAAGAAGACTAGCCAAAATATTCACAGAAAGAGAAATACTCAAAGGGCCAAATTACGCAGGCTTGCCCGGCAACTCTACAGAGCAACCAATACATATGCTAAACATGATAATGGAAGAAGCACAAGAGAAAAATAAAGAAATATGGATACTTCTGCAAGATATGAAGAAGGCATTTGACTCAGTCCCATTAAAAAGCCTAGAGTTGGCGCTTAAAAGAGTTAAAGTACCACAAAGAACAATAAGATATATTATCAACCTTTTCTGTAAACGACAACTTAAGGTGATTACAGCATATGGCCTAACAGAAGAAATAACAGCAGGAGATGGTATAGATCAAGGAGAGGTTATTTCTCCACTTATCTGGCGACTTTTCTACGATCCACTGTTGGAAAGAATTCAAGAAGATAAATCACTAGGCTATGTAGTAGAGCAAGAAACATTAAAAAATACAGATATTAACTGTATCACAAAACATAGGCAAGCAGCAATTGCTTATGCAGATGACACTACATGGATTGCAAACAGCAAAGACCAATTACTTAGAATTCTTGAAGTCGCAGAACAATTCTTCAATGCGAATGATATTGAAATAAATGGAGCAAAGTCAAAGCTTATAGTGATAAACTCAAGACTAAGAAAAGAAGAGAGAGAAATCATATTTGGACAAAGCAGAATAACAGAAGAACCAAGAAACAAAATCGTAAGATCATTAGGAATTTGGCTAAATAGTAGAATGAAAGAGTCATTAGTTTGCAAAAAAGCAAAAGGAATAGTGAGCCAAACAGTTAAAGACCTTAGATATAAAAAAATGACAATGAGCCAGATCGCTTATATAAACAATACAGTAATTATCCCAAAACTAGGATACCTTCTACAGCTAACAAGAATGTCAGAAAAGATGATTAACAAGATTCATCAGCCAATAATATGTCTGGCGAAACACAAATGCAATATGATGAGAACAACAAACAATTGCATAATCGAGCACAAGGATCTAGGAAACTGTAAATCACTAAGTCAAGAATTAATGACAAAGCAAATAAGCAGTCTATTAGCAAGACTCAACAGAGAAGACACCTTGGGCAATCTAACGAAACTTAGAATAACTCAAGGATGTCAGAAAGCAGGCTTAGTAAAAGACATTTGGGATACTGCCTAAACCAAGTCACTATCAAGAATCATTACCCACTCCCCCTAATATCTGAACTACTTAACAAACTCGCTGATGCTCGAGTCTTCACTAAAATCGACCTGAGAGGAGCTTACAATTTAGTACATATTAGGCCAGGTAATAAATGGAAAACAGCATTCCATACTCAGTATGGTCATTTCGAGTACTTGGTGATGCCTTTTGGGCTCACAAACGCCCCAGCTGTGTTCCAAAATCTAATGAATGATGTCTTTTGGGACTTTTTGGATCAGTTTGTAATCATATATTTGGATGATATCTTAATATACTCCTCTATCTCAAAAGAACATGCCCAACATGTATGGTTGGTACTGGAATGTCTATGTCAACACGGCCTATATGCAAAAATAGAAAAATGTGAATTTGAAAAAGAAAACGTAGACTTCCTGGGCTATCGTATTACATCAGAAGGAATCCAAATGGATCCAACTAAGGTTGAGAGTCTCCTCTCATGGCCTGTACCAACCTCTGTTAAGGAGGTACAAAGATTTCTAGGTTTTGCCAACTACTACTGACATTTTATCAAAGAATATGCTCATTTGGTCACCCTCTTAACAAACCTGACTTGAAAATCTAAAATAAAATCACCAACTGCCTTTTACTAGTCTTACGCTTCATAAAAAGCTTTCAACTTCTTAAAACAAGCCTTTACATCAGCTTCAATTCTGACCCAAGCTGACCCGACGAAACCTTATTATTTGGAAACAGATGCATCAGACTATGCCCTCGGAGCAGTACTCTCACAATACAGCAAAAAAGGCTTCCACCCTATTGCATATTATTCACGAAAATTTACATTAGCAGAAGTAAATTATAACATATACAATAAGGAGCTACTTGCTATAGTAACAACTTTTAAGCAATGGCATCATTATTTGGAAGGTGCACAGCATAAAATTACTGTTCATTGTGACCACAAGAACTTAGAGTACTTTGCTACTGCAAAAACACTCAACTGTCAACAAGCCAGGTGGTTCCTGCTCCTTTCAAACTATGATTTTGTAATCATATTTCAGTCTGATAGAGAACAAGGGAAGTCTGATGCCTTGTCATGAAGGCCCAAGTACTAACCTAAAGAAGGTGATGAAATCACAGGTCAACAGAATACTACCCTACTAAAAGCTGAAAACTTCATCATAAATGCAACCTTTATAATGCCAATTGATACCAACTTGAGAAACAAAATCTGTAATCAAATGCAACTAGACCTCCTGGCTATAGACGTAATAGATCAACTTACAAGTCTACCAAAAAATGAGTCAGGAAAATGTTTTGATTATCATAAATTCCAATATTAAGATAGGCTCTTGTTCAGGGAGGGCCTATTATATGTTCCAAATATGCCAGAAAGGATAAAGGTATTGCAAGCAAGACATGACTCTAAATTTGCTGGGCACTTTGAAGTAGCCAAAAAATAGAATTGGTAACACGAAATTACTGGTGGCCCAACTTGCACTCCTTTGTACAAACCTATATCAAATCCTGTGATATTTGCACAAGATCTAAAACATCCAGACATCACCCCTTTGGGTTACTAACACCCCTGCCTATACCTACACAGCAGTGGCAATCCATATCAATGAATTTTATTACAGACCTACTCCTATCTTCAGATTGTAACTCTATACTGGTTGTAGTAGACCGGTTGACAAAAATGGCCCATTTTATAGCATGTAAAAAAAGCATTGACATTGAACAAACTGCACAAATAATATTTAGAGAAGTAATCAGACTTCATGGCATCCCAAAAAATATTACATCTGACAGAGGACCTCAATTTACTTCCAAGTTCTGGAGGAGCTTGTTCAGTCTACTAGGAACCAAAATAAATCTTTTATTAGTTTACCATTCCCAATCGGATGGTCAGAGTGAAAGGTCAATCAAGTGTTAGAACAGTACCTAAGTTGCATGATAAATTACCATCAAGATAACTGGGTTGACCTACTGCTCTTAGCTGAGTTTGCATACAATAACTTAATCTATACATCCACCAAAGCCACACCTTTCTTTACCAATTATGGCTTTCACCCACATTTCGACCTACAAACACCATTCCATTCCACAGTCCCCTCCGTAGAAGACAAAGCTACGCAACTACAATGCATCAAAAAAACGATCACAAATGAGCTGAAAATGGCACAAGAGTGTTACAAGCAGAATGCTGATCATTATCGTAAGGACCCTCCTATATTTAAAGTTAGTAACAAAGTATGTTTAATATGCCAAAATATACACACAAAATGACCATTAAAAAAACTGGACTATTGCAAATTGGGCCCTTATGTTATCTCCAAAAAGATCAACCCAGTGGCATACTGATTAAAGCTGCTCCTGAACTGAAGATCCATAACACCTTTCACGTTTCATTACTAGAGCCATATAGAGAGAACAACATTCTAGGAAGAGTAAAGGAACCTCCTCCATCTGTGATTATTGAAGGAGAAAACGAGTATGAAGTTCGAGAGATACTTGATTCAAGAAAAATTAGAAATAGACTGCACTACCTAGTCGACTAAGAAGGTTATGGCATAAGCAAATGATCATGTGAACCAATGGAAAATTTGAGCAATGCCCATGAAGCTGTAGTTAAATTCCACCGTCAGTATCCCGAAAAACCTGGCCCAACACCAGAGGAAGACCAAAAG